TCGAGTCCCCGTCAATGCATTCTTTTTTTCGTTCTCTCACCGAGACTCCTTTTTTTTGCCCTTATTTCTGCTCGGCATAGCGAGATTCCCCTTCCAGCTTTCAGGGTCTCGCCGCAACATAGGACCCTGCTCCACGGCGCTGGTTCCACGGCGCTGGTTCTGAGCTGACAGTCACCAAACTTAAGATCGTACTGAACGAAAGTCGGCTGGCTTCAGTCTGTGGTACGATCTAGTGAAAGGCAAAGCCAATCGCGAGCTCGAGTGTTTGCCATGCCGATTGCGGCAGCTCCGGTGGTGGGGTCGAGACTCGAGCTGGCTGGGCGTGCGGGGAAAGGGCCGCTAGTCGCGCGGGCTTTGTATCTCCATTGTTAAGCGATGGCGCACAAGTCAATGCGGTGCTCAGGTACAGCCTGGTCCGATCGGCGATGGACCAAGATCATCCTACTTTGACCCTTTCGACCCTCTTAACGCTGTGTGGAAAAGTGGCAGGTGGATCACGATACGATTTCACGTCAAGGCTCCTTTTGGCGTGTCTTTCGGAGCTCGAATTCGGCACGACGCCCAGGCTCAAGCGAGGGCGCAGCGCACCTTTCAGCTCGAATCAAAATCCGCGTGCGGGGCGAGAATTTCCACAGGCTGGATCAAGGCAGTTGAGCAGCCGCCAAAGATGGCCGTCCAGGAACAGCCAGGCCAGTCCTAAAGAGAAAATCAATGCACTGAACGCTTCCCGCGGGTTCCGCTGGTCCCATAGTGCATCGACTGCATCCAACCGCTTGGCGCCAGTCTCAGCCGCACTGCAGACCGACCAGAAGCGCCAGTCCCACCAAGCAACTTGAGAGCTGGCGGTACAAGACCAAGCCAGACACAGGGCTCGTAGGCGCCTGTTCATGCCGGGCTCCGGGCTCGCGCACAAGTGAGACCGGGCAGCTCGTCAAGTGCATCCAGCCGCGCGACGATTCATGGTCCGCCTCCAGGTCTATATGCTGTGGGATGCGCACGGGGAGAAGTCGGGATCCTCCACTTGTCCTCTGAATACAGTCGATTAAAAAGGTAGCGCCGATGGCGACAGGCAGATCAACCACACGGATCTGCACCGCAGGCTTCGATTCGTAGAGCCCCCTCGCGAACAGGTCAGGCCACGCAGGTCATTTATCCACCTGCAAGCTGCTTCCAGATGCAGCTGATTTGTTCAGAGCAGCAGGACGAGTGAGGTTCATCCGAAAGCGTATATTGCTGGCCCTCCCTGAGTGGCCGAAACCCCCGTCGCCCGCCTTTTCCCCCTTTGCTCTCCTCCCTACCAGCGTCACCATACGTACCTGACTGCTTCCCTCGTCCTCTCTTGCCCCCACCATCACCGCGGCGAGGCTCGGGATAGCGACATGGTGAAACCCTCGTTGGGTATGCTCGCAAGAGCGGGTTCCCTAGCAGCGCTCGTCATCAGCACCTTCTCGTTGCAGGCCCACGCACTTGGCTTTTCCGTCGACGCTCTCAACTGCACCGAGCTCGACTGGTCCGCCTCGCTCACCCAGACAGAATGGAGCGTGGCATCGTACATCAACCTCTTCTTTGTCTCCACCGAGAGCGCACGCAACTACTCGCTCCTCTACTCGGCGCTCAACGGCGGCGACTTCTCCACGCCAGGCAACTACCGCAAAGTCACCCCTTTCGGTGACACGGCGCTCAGCGGCCCATACCGTATCGGCATCGGTCTCGCCGACATCAATGGCAACATCCTCACCACCCTCAGCACCAGCAGTGGCATTGTACAGGTCACAGCCATCGACTCGAGGACATTCACCTTTACAGACTGCGGCAGGAACGGCACTGCGCCAGCCTCTGCATCAACCACTTCGGCTTCCATCAGCCCGACAGCCGCCTCTACTTCGGCTTCTTTCGCTACCACAGCCGCCTCGGCCACTTCACAGTCTACCCAGGCTGTCGCTTCGTCGACATCGGTCGCAGCAGCACCAGTGAGCTCTCTAGCACCCGCTACGACGACTGCCACGACTCCGGTGCACCACGTCAACAAGGGCGCGATTGCAGGCGCTGTGATCGGCGGACTCGTGCTGCTGCTAATCGGAGTGGCGCTCATGAGGTGGTGCGCTTCGCGGCGGCGTACGCGAAGGCTGAGCATGGCGGCACACCGCATGTCGGCCCTGCGCTCGCCGTCGCTCTCCGAAAAGGCTGCCGGCTCGCCCAAGGACGACGGCTCCGTCTCGCCGCACAGCCAGCGTCGCATGACCGCCAGGGTGTACCCGTCCGGCGACACGCTCGACGTGGCAGCTCTGGGTCGGCTCAGCTCGAGTTCGCGCCGTCGATCTGCTTCGAATGGCGACGATCTATCTCTCTCCAACATCCTCGCGCAGGGACCACCGCATGTTCCGGAGACCGAGGCGGAGCCCGAGATCCGCGTCGTTAAGGTGCCCTTCAACCTCACGCCGGGCCAGCAGATGGCACCCGCGCACGAGTCGATCGCGCTCGACGCCTCTCCGTTTGCAGACTCGGATACGCCGTACCTGCCGCTAAGCAGGACGAAGAGTGTTCCCGTGCATCCGCATGCACTGAACCCCTTCTATTCTGCGCATCCTGCCAAGGCGAGTGCAGAGGCGGTGGAAGAGTCGTCGCTACACGCGCGATCCAAGTCGACGCCGGTGGTCGATCCACTAGCCAATAGCACGACCCCCACCACCTCGCCCACTGCATCCTCGTTCCCTAATCGCACGCTGCGCGGTGCGCACTCGCAGAACTTCAAGATCCCGCGCGTCAGCGTCCCCGCCTACCTCGCCGGCATCGAGTCGGGCGCAGACGATCTGGGCGCAGAGTCGATGTCGAGACAGATCTCGTGCGACTCGGGCATGCGCCGCTTCTCTACGGGCGCCGCCACCTTTGTCTCGGTCGATGAAGACCCCTTTGTCGACGCGGCACAGGAGCCCGCGCCGTCCGCCTCGCACGCGGCCTGAACAAGCACGTCCCCTCTGTTCATTCCGCCCCCTCATCGCATTTGTAACGGGCTCTCACTGCAATATTCGTAACTCGAGTCGCTGTGCGTGCGAACGAGCGTTGAGCACACCAGACACCATAGCGAGAACAGGAAAGATCGACATTGGACCGTTCAGAGCGCTGCGCAAATTAGTTAGATGTCCATCAAATTGGACCAGCTGAAGATCGCAGTGGGTGATAAGGAGGAATTCCGCCAATAGACCGTACGTGGCGCTGGGCGTTCAGACAAACGAACATCCTTGCCTGAGCCCAACTTGAGTTCGGTGAGCCTCAAGCTGACCGCACGCAAAGCAGACGTCCCACTACGAACCTGTTGGTGGGTTTCGGCTTCGGCCCGGTGACCCAACTCCGGGCTCCACGCCCATATACGACGCACAAACCTGTCGCTCAATGCCGCACGGCCCGGGAGGCTGTGCGGGCTCCAGGATATACCTCCTGCTCGTCCTACCAGCTCCGTGGGCTTGCTCTCGCACACAATGCAGATAGATCCACCAAGATCATCTTTCGCATTCGTCGCCATTTTCTCCAACACCGTCAATGCATTCGCTTCGAGCGTTTACAAGCGTCTGCCGTCGGTCGCCTGCATTCACCAGCGTCCTACCCTCCTTCGCAACGCAGACTCCGACAGAACCAAATCGAACAATAGCCGGGCATTGCGATCGCATTGGTATAAAGAACAGAGCGTGTGCGGTCTCGACGGGATACGAAGACCGAGCGTGTTTCGCGGATCATCTCATTCGTGGGTCGTCTTGCGCACACAAAGGGCCAGATGAGCAACACAATAACATTGGTATAAAGTACAATCAGAGCAGATGCGGTGTGGACGGGACATGGGGAAGGGGCGCTTATGGCTGGTCTACTTGCGTGCGTGGTCTGCATCCGAGTCGCCAGCATCGGCGGTCTTGACGACATCGTCATCGGCCTTCTTGGCGGCGTACGACTCCTCCCTGTCGAGCGTTGCAAAAGCCGGCTCGTTGGCGCGAGCACTTTCCGTGACCATGCCGTCGTCAGCCGTGCCGCCGACTTCGGCGAGCAGCCTTGCGCGGAACACCTTGCGCTTGGCCGGCGAGAGATCCTGAACCGACCTGGCGATGATGTTGCCCTCGAAGATGCGGTGCATGAGCTCGAGGGTGACGCCGCTCGACTCTGGCAGGAAGAAGGCGGCCCAAATCACCGCCACGCTCGTCATGATGCCAAACAGCAAGAACGTGCCGTACTTGATGTGCTCGAGCGCACGCGGCGTGATGAGTGCAATGACAAAGTTGAAGAACCACTGGCTCATGGTGGCAGCCGACATGGCAAGCGCACGCAGCTGGTTGGGTGCCACCTCGGCACTGACCGCCCAGGTGACCGAAGACCAGCCGAGACCGTAACCGACGACAAAGATGTAAACCATGGCGATGGTGAGGTAGCCCACGCCATCAACAGGCGTGCCTGCAGGACGAACGGCCTGGTAGATGGCGATCCAGAAGAGCGTAAACACCTGCACAAGGCCGCCGATGATGAGGCACCACTTTCGTCCGAGCTGCTCGATGGCCACCGCCATGAAGAGACCGGTGGTGATGATCTTGACCACGCCGTAGACGCCCGTTGCGAGCAGGCCACTCGACTGTCCGGTGATGCCGAGCGACTTGAAGATCTGGGGCGAGTAGTAGTTGATCGAGTTGGTGCCGGTGAACTGCTGGAAGAACATGAGCAGGGCGCCGATGAAGACTCGGTAGGTGATGACGCGGTCGGAGAAGGCCATCTTGAGCTGCTGGACGAGCGAGAGACCCGACTTGCCCTGCAGATCCTGCTGGATCTCGGTGAGGATTCCGACGACGACGGGGTCGGATTCGTCGGCGCGGTTGATGCGGGCGAGCGAGTTCTGCGCCTCTGCGATCCTGTTCTGCTCCACGAGCCATCGAGGCGACTCGGGCTGGAAGAGAAGAGTGACAACAAAGAGCACGCCGGGCAGGCACTGGAGTGCAAATGGCACCTGCCACATGGCGCTCGATGTCTGATCGGGATAGTTCTGCACCATGCCGTAGTTGACAAAGTAGGCGATGCAGATACCGGTCACGATGAGCAGCTGGTACATGCCGGCAAGACGACCACGGATTGCGCGCGGTGCGCATTCTGATAGATACATGGGCACCACGGAGGAAGCGAGTCCGACCCCGAAACCGCCAATCACCCGGCCTACATAAAGCTGGTTGAGTGCTGCGTTGGCGCTCTGGCCGTTCAATCGGCAGACGGTCTGGATGACGGAGCCGATGAGGAAGACGGTGGCCGAGATGAGCATGGCTTGCTTTCGGCCGAAGCGGTGGGGCAGGTAGAAACTGGCGGCGGCACCAAAGAAGCAGCCGGCCTGAAGCACCGAGACGATGTTGCCCTTGAGTGCTGCGAGCTTGGCATCGTTGTTCTCGAGGCCAAAGTCCTTCTTGAATGCAGGCATGTTGAGCACGCCGCCGATGAGTCCGGTATCCCAACCGAAAAGCAGACCTCCGAAGGAGGCGCAGATGCCGAGGATGTAGACACGCCAGTGGTCGCGAAGGTCCTCGGCGATGGCCGAAGGACCGAAACGACGCTTTGTGGTCTTGTCGACTGCGAGGTGTGCATTGGTGGCGGCGGCAAAGTTGTCCTCCTGCTTGGAAGGGGTCGACGACCCCTCAGACGTGGCACGCGTCATGGCGGGCACAGGCAGCGAGCAAAGGTGGCGTGTGGGGAAAGAGCCAGGGTCCGGAGGCGGTAGAGGAGAAGCGGATGTGGGGCAAGGGATGGAAGGGAAGCTGAGAGGTGGCTACTTGTACCCTTTTGGGATGTGGGGTATGGAAGCGAAGACGAAGCAAGGTACCGCGGGGTGGGGACGCTGTAGGCGAGGTTGGAGTCAATCGCGTGGTGAATGAGGCGAGTCGAGGTCGAGAGGCTATCGCGGTGGAGCGCTTGCACTTGACGGCGAGCACGGATTGGTCACAGTGTCGCGGGGCGTGTCAACTAATGCAGCGAGGCACGAGACGGCGCCGGGAGCCCGAATGAAACGTTGGCGTGCCAGAGGCTAACCTAAAAGTGAGGGGAGAAGCTGGTGGAGCGGGGGGAACTCCGGGCGAATGCACGCCAAGGTGGCGCACCCAGCTTATGCTCCTGGGTACGGAGAAGGGAGAGCGGGGGTCAGAGGCAAGAACCGCTTGGTCCGGGTCAGGAAGCGGTCCGGGATGGTCGTGGTGGGGGAGAAGATGCTGCGATGGAGGCTAGCTCAGTGTCATTGCTGCCGGACCGTGGTTGGGAGAGAGCACACGGACGAAGCACAAGTCTAGCGCCAGCCACTTTTTGGGGCGGGGACTCCAGATCAGCTGCAGTCGAAGCGGCGGCGGTCTGCGGCAGAGATGCTGCAGAGCGGGGTGGAGAAGCCAATGGGCGTGTGCGGGCATTGTGGGAGAGCAATGCAAGGCACGCCTTCCGAGGCCAAGCTAGCATGAGGTGGGTCATTTGCGGTTGGCGGTTGGCGGTCGGCGGTTGGGGCGAGCTAGCCAGACTGGACAGTCTTGGCCAACGTAGCCGAGAGAAACCGGCGTTGCAACCAACGACAGTGAACTTTTCGAAGGTCTAGGCGCCCACGCCGCCAAAACGGCTTCATTTCGACAGACAATTTTTCACACTTGCCAACTACCGCCACTAGCCAGTGTTCTAATGACTCGCCACCCGCCAAGCGAGCTCAGCATGTCTCATGTGGCGAGCGTCGCGCCTCTGTCCATTCACCTTGGCAGCGACTTGCGATGTTTTTGGCCGACCCCGGTGCACGATCATTTCAGCGCCTCGGTGGTGTTGTGAAGCTGATTGATTGGTTGACGTTGGTGGCTTTGATTCGAAACTCGTGTGAGGTGCAGCTTCCGATTGGACAGCAACGCATACGGGCCCGGTGACCATTGGACCCTCGGCTGAGGGCGGGGCAGACAAGGAATCGCCCAGGGTCAAAGGTCAGCAGGCGGCAGAGGCCGAGGCGGTGGCGTCGGAATTCGAGGAGGCTGCGGTATTCGCCAAGCTGAGTGTCAACAACGTCAAGCCATCCCCGCGGGGAGCACTGGTTCTTTTTTTCTCTCCGCCGACAGCTGGTGGTCAACCCCACGTCCATTCGGCTCGACTCATTGGTCTTGGCATCCGTCATGTCGCCCGGTTCTTTTGCGGACCGAACGATCTGCGTCTCGCAACCTCGGTAGATTTGTGCTTCCCCACATCTCAAGCTCGTGCGTGGGGCGGCACGGAGCTCTCCGTCTGTGTCGCTCTTCCCCCTCCTGTGCATCGTGTATCGGAGCTGTACTGAATTCTGCCGAAGCCCTGGCGGGCATGCCGGACGTCTGTCGAATGTGCATGAGTTGGTTCCAGCAATGTCCCACCTTGTCCTGCATTGACTCCTCTTCCTATGCACAAGGTGCTGCGCAGGATCGCTTTGTCTTCCCCGCGGGGGGACCCAGTCGTGTGCCTCTGACCCCTCCCCGCGGGGTCGTATCTCTCCCCCACATGCGCCTGACAGCATCCTCCGTGTGTACCTGGCGCTTCTACAAACATGTCACTACTACCCAGATCTGTATGACGGTCCTGGCCGTCGACTTAGGCGAGGGAACATGGATGATGTGCGGGGTTGCAATCCGAGCGCGGGCATGAACGGCGCACCCCACTCATGGCAGCTACCGCATGGCTTGCCCCCGCGGGGAAGCGCACTTACCAGCCGAGCATGGCATGCACACCCATCGAGACTGTATGGCCATCGCCTAAGAGCCTCGGTTGCTGCCACAAGATGCAGCACCACTGTGGGCGCATGGCGATGGCCGAGATTGCCGTTGGGTCGCCAGGGAATCTCATGACGATCTCGACACTTTTTTCGCGTCTGGTTGTGTACGGCTACATGCCCTAACACCGTTCGAAAAATGCTCGCACGAAAGAGGCTCTAACCCTCCACACCTCCCCGCGGCTGAGCTCAGACCATCTATTGCCGATCAGAAGAAATGCCACGTCGTAGCGTCAGTCCACCTCTCTTTCGACACAATCACCAGAGGAGCCCACCAAACACAAGCCAGATACTGCAATGCTGGCCGCGCAGACGACAAGACTCACATCGCAGCGTCTGTTCTCTCGCCTAGGATTGACAGGCTCTGGCGCACGAGCGATGAGCACCACAGTTCGACCGGCCACAGAGCCGCTGGTGATTGCGCCCAAGGCGCTCGCCTCGCTCATGGAAAAGCAGGACGGAAGCAGCAAGCTGCGCATCCTGGATGCCACATGGTTCATGCCCAACACCAACCCGCCGCGCAGTCCTCTGCGGGAATTCACGGTGGGGCCTCGATTGCCGAAAGCCCAATTTTGGGATGTGGACAAGGTGGCCACCACTGGTGAAAGCGTTCGCAACCTTCCGCACATGATGCCTTCTGCTGCCACCTTTGCGCGCGCTGCGTCGGAGCATGGCATCGAGCCCGAGACGCATGTGGTGGTGTACGACACCCACGGCGTCTTCTCGGCACCCCGGACCGCATTCACCTTCAAGGCGTTCGGCCACTCGAACGTTTCGGTGCTCAACGGCGGGCTGCCGGCGTGGATCAACCACGGCCTGCCTATCGAGGAGGGAGAGCCAAGCTCGGCTGCCAAGACAGACTACCCGGAGCCTGTTCTTCAGGACGGCATCATCCGCTCGTTCGACGAGATGGTGGCCAATGCCAAGATGGGCGCACGCGGTCAGACGGTGTTCGATGCACGATCCAAAGGCCGTTTCGATGGCAGCGACTCGGAGCCCCGGCCCGGGCTCTCCTCGGGGCACATTCCGCACAGCCTTTCTCTCCCGTTCCCCACGCTGCTCAAGACCGAAACAGGGAAGGATGGCAAGACGTACACGGTGCTCAAAGACCAAATCGAGCTGTGGAGGACGCTGGGCGACACCGTAGGCGGCACCGAGGCACTCGACAAGCTGCGCCAGGCTTCGAGCGGCGGTGAGCTGGCAGCCACCAATACGTGCGGCTCGGGCATGACGGCAGCGGCCATCTGGTTGGCGCTGCAGGAGATTGGAGTGCAGAGCAGCATCTACGACGAGAGCTGGATGGGTTGGGCCTCGCGGGAGAGCGAGGGCGTGCCCATCGACAAGAACGTATGAAGCACCACATCGGTACTTTCGCATATGCACATCGATGTCGCCAATTTCGGAGCTCTCGCACGCCAGACTGTGGCTGCCGAGGTGAAGTGAAGCATCGTGTGATAAGATGAAGCGGGTCGTCGGATGTGCCGCTGAACCGGGTTCCGAGTCAGATGATACGCCGCGTGGCCGGACAAGCTACGCGGATACAGCCGGCAGAGTTGCCGGGATATCAGCGGAAGCGGCCCAGAGATTAGAACGCTTATCCCAACTTGGCCGCCACTTTGCTTCTCCCTTCACCCGCACCTTCCCGACACCTTTCGCATTCACCTTGTGTTCCCTCTTGTTCTTCGTCTCGTACAGACGACGCTGCAGTGCAGATCTGTGCGCTATGCTCAGACGACGCTGGATGAGCAATTCCAAGGGGAGCGGCACGAGGCACAGCGAACGGCGCGGAACGGGATCTGAGCCGTCCGCACGGGTGCTTTGCCGCCATTTCCACACTGCGGGACGGTAGTCAAGCGTAGAGCGCAATGGCTCGCGGAATAGCCGGTTGGCAGGTGCCAGCCACGCTTGCCAGAGCTGCTTCCCCCACCAGAAGCGGCAGCGGGCGGCGGCGGCTGATTCTAATTCACCGCGAAATGCACCGTTGCCGCTCGACGCGGCGGGGGGGGGGGGGGGGG